AAATATGAATACAAAGTGTTTCAAAGTTCCCCTGAGTCCAGCGCTCATCAGCGCAACACCAATCTCTCGTCAACTCATCAGTATGGCTTCCAGTGAATCAGCGCTACTYCTGCAGATAGTCTCCAAGTCATCAATGTGGTCACTACTCATCAGCGCCACCTCTGCAGGTCACATCTAACCCAGGTAAGTATCTTCCATAGCCGAACCTTRAATGAACACTTTCAGCCTAAGTCCCTTCCTCCTACGATACATACACACTCTTCACTCATTAGGATCTACTCTGGATACTATTCATAGCTACATACTAACACTCTGCTACTAATGCTAACTCGCTGGGCAGCTATGGCTGCATTACTTCCAGCGTACAGGCTTCTTCCTACATTCAGCGCATCTTCTATCTCCAGCGCTGCTCCTCCTGACTCAGCGCACAAGTGCACCAGCACTTCCACGCATTGCAGCCAGTGGAGATCTGGCGAGGAATGAGGCAGGCAGCTCCCTTTATAGTGCTGACCACTCCTCGCTGGGTCTGCATTAGGTCAACTCGGCCTTTCCTTTGTCCCAAACCCTGCATTGCATGTGTCCTTGTAGAGTCCCAATGAAGTTCAACTGCTGCTGCGGCCTCTCGGCCTGTATTTCGACTTGAAAGTCTGGATCTGGACTGACCCCTTGACTTAGACCAGAACTGGGACTGTGCCTATGGACTTTACTTTCAGACAGGCACAACTCTCAACGAACAGACACATTTACTGCTTGAACAGACACTTTCCTTTGCACGAACAGGTACACTGCCTGCACGTACAGACACACTCTTACCTGAACAGACATGACACATACATCTTCTGGTGAACAGGTAAGTCCTTTGACAATGCCCTTTGCCTTAGACTTAGATGTGCCTGTTAATAGAGAACTTGACCTTTGACCTGCCTTCACGTTTCTGAGCCCTAGCGAGATACCTTTTCACAATGCTTTACTTTTTCAAGGCCCGTGCTGTCTTATTTTTACAAGGCCTGAGGCCTATATCTGGTAAAGGCCCTTTTATTGTTGTTSTGGTTGTTGCTGTTGTTGTTGTTGTTGTTGTTGTTGTTGTTGTGCAGGTCGACAGCGTGGATCACAGCTATGGCGCCCAGGTAAGTGACGCAGGTATGGCCTCCGCCCCTCTTCTTCTTCTTCTTCTTCTTCTTCTTCTTCTTTTTCTTCTTTTTCTTCTTCTTCGTCTGGTTGTTGTTGTGGTTGTTGCTGTTGTTGTTCTTGTTGTTTTTGTGCAGGTCGACAGCGTGGAGCACGGCTATGGCGCCCAGGTGGTTGTGGTTCTGGTTGTTGTTGTGGTTGTGGTTGTTGCTGTTGTTGTTGTTGTTCTTGTTGTGCAGGTCGACAACGTGGATCACAGCTATGGCGCCCAGGTAAGTGACGCAGGTATAGCCTCCTCCCCTCTTCTTCTTCTTCTTCTTCTTCTTCTTCTTGTAGTTGTGGTTCGGGTTTTTGTTGTTGTTGTTGTGCAGGTCGACAGCGTGGAGCACGGTTATGGCGCCCAGGTGGGTTGTGGTTCTGGTTGTGTTGTGGTTGTTGCTGTTGTTGTTGTTGTTGTGCAGGTCGACAGTGTGGAGCACGGCTATTGCGCCCAGTTAAGTACTGCTGACACAGGGATGTGTTGTTGTTGTGCAGGTCACCAGCGTGGAGCACGGCTTTGGCGCCCAGTTAAGTACCACTGACGCAGGTCCGAGCATGGCTATGGCGCCCAATTAAATACCGTTGACGCAGGTATGGCCTCCGCCCCTCTTCTTCTTCTTCTTCTTCTTCTTCTTTTCTTGTGGTTGTTGTTGTCGTTGTTCAGGTCGCCAGTGTGGACCAAGGCTATGGCGTCGAGTTAAGTACCGCTGACGCAGGTATGTGTTGTTGTTGCTGTTGTACAGGTCGCCAGTGTGGAGCATGGCTATGGCGCCAGTTAAGTACGGCTGACGCAGGTATTGCCTCCGCCCCTCTTCTTTTT